TAGCTCCTCCTCCTTGCTGCAGCCCTGCCTCCCCCTCCCTCTCCCCTTTCCCTCTCCCCTCCTCTTTCTGATGAATCTTGTTGCTCAAAGTTTTGTTGTCTTCCCCTCCTTGACAGCCACTTGCTTGTCCACACAACCCTTTCTTTTCTGTGGGTGTCATTAGGTCTGGGATCATGCCTGGCACCATTTAAAGGGCAAGAGATTTGCAGACTGAGTTTGCGTGATGTTGGTGTCATAGCATGAGATAAGGACATCCTTATCACTCAGGTTGCTGGGGAAACTTCAGATGCCAGGTTCTCTTAACTTAGTCGCAATATGATCAAGTATGCAGCTTTTCTTGAGCTCCCAAGCTATGCCACGTAAAAACAAAACGTAATTCCTTTTGAAAGAAGAGATCAGTACCTTTGTACTCAAAATTCAAAAGCCTGAGCAAGGCTGTTTTTCCAGCCACTTTTATTTAGTTTAGTTTTGCTTTCCTTTTTTTTTTAAATTTTGTTTTGTCTTTGCTACTGGGGCTTGGACTCTGAGACTTCCACTTGACTTTCTTGCTCACATCTGGGGCTCTGCCATTTTGAGCCATGTCTCCTGTATAGCATTTTGTTGGTTTTTGAAAGATGGAGTTTTGTGGACTTCTCTGCTCAGGTCTGCTTTGAACCATAGTCTTTCAAGTCTCAGCCTCTTGAGTAGCTAGGATTACAGGTGTGAGTCACGGATGCTCAGCTTCTATTGAGTTCTCAAAGTTCAGATTCGAAATCCAGGCTGCTGAGTGGGCTAAGGGGGAGCTGTTGGTATGAGACCGGCTCTGCAGCTCCCTGCCACCTGCCCCATGCCTGGCAGCCGTCCCCGGAAGAGAATCATGCCTTGAGACCTGAACTTTCTCCTTGGCCCTTCTAGAAGGGAAATGGATAAATCGCGCCCCCTTGTGGGGGTTCACCACCATGGACTGGACGGAATCTTGTTCTGCTCATTAGTTGGTGTTAGACCAATCATGTGTGTCCTGCTTTTTCCTGCGTGTTGAGGAGCTGTCGGCATGGGCCAGGGCAGAGGCAGCTTTCATGGCAGTTTTCATTCATGTGAGTTACTGGCCAGTGTCTGCTCAACATTTAACTTCAGCTCAGAGGGTAAGAGAAGTCCCCGCTGAGCCCACACTCTAACCACACATGCTATTAGCACACATGCTTTGGGCTCCTATGCGAAGGCCCCAAGGAAATATGGTCAGTGAGGTTTCCAAAAGGGTTCCCACTCATGGTAACCCCCCTCAGGCCTCCACTTTTATACTATGACGTACCTGGGTTCTCTCCTTCGAGAAAGGCTTTTCTTCTGAGGCTTGAAAAGCCAACAGTAGAAGAGATAATGTCACACAGCCTTTTGTCCCAGGCATTCAGCCTTGGCCTTTGTGACAGCTCACTTGGGGCTAGGATGGGGGCAGGGAGAGTATACCCATTTGGGTAAATTGATCAAATGCAGATCTCCTTTGGGGATGGTCCTCATTCATCCAAGATGGAAAGATAAATGCCCTCAGGCTTGTGGGATTGGCTCCAAGTTTGCTAGAAACAAGGTATTGAACTCCAGAGGTAGGGGCTTCTCAGAGGCTTATCCTGGGAGGCCTGGTCCCACTGCTGTGCCTTCCCCCTCCAACCAGACCTTAGCCATGAAAGACCTGCTGTAGTCTACTGTCCTATCTCTTTTGACAAGACAAAGGGTGCATCTGGGTATTAAACCAGGGTGGGTTACATTGGTGAAGCCAAACCATAACAGGCTGTGAGAAAAGAATATCAGATCATCATCCCTGGGGTTGGGAAGAGGCTATGTCCCTTCCCCTCAGTAGGCTGTTCTTACGGGACAAAGTAGAACAGACTGCCACCCTGAGTCCCTGCACACCCTTCTGCATGTGCTGTCTACACAGCAGCCACCAGGCCAAGTGCACAGCCCATCTTGCAGATTCTGGGTGGAGCCAGGCTTCCTGGAACCCTCTCCCACTTCCTAGAAATATAGCAGAAGAGAGATTTGTGTGCTGCTTGTCTCCTCTACAGAGATTTCTATCCTGTGGTTGAAAATGCAACATCACAGATTAGCATTGTTCTCATAAAAGCCCAGTTTGTTTTCAGAGGCCTGATGTGACGTCTCTGGTGTGGATCAAGGGTTGTTTCATTCTCCATGTGTTTGCGACTGTATGCATAAGCACCTGATCTGTGGACATGGCTCTTAACAACCTGCCTTGCACTTCATACTCTCTTAAAGATGCCAAGCTTGCCAAGCGTACATGGCTCAGACCTAAACTTAGTTACTTGGGAGGCTGAGATCTGATCAGCACAGACGGAAAAGTCTATGGGACTAGGATCTCCATTTAGTCACCAAAAAGCTGGAACTGGAGGTGTGAGCAAGCTGAAGAATGCCAACCTCAAGTGGCAAGAACTTTAGGCCCTGAGTTCAAGCTCCAGTACTGGCACACTTATGAAGGGAGGGAAGGGGAGAGGAAGGGAAAGGAAGGGACAAGGATTCCAAAAAAGTAAGAGACAAAAGGAAAGAAAGAAAGAAAGACTTTTTCCCCCAAGCCCTTTTAGATTTGCAGAAAAACTGAACAGAAAGTTAGAGTTCCCTTTTACCCTCCTCAGTCTCCTCTTATTGTATTCAAATATGATGATATTGGTGGACCGATATTAGGAGTGTCATGAGCTCAGTTGGGGGTCTACTTTAGGTCTTTCACTTGCTATGGGCTTTGTCATTTGCCCCTATAGGACCTACAAGGTATTCACAGTCATTCCCTGCCCTGGTGACTCCTTGTGTTTCCTGTATTTAGCCCTCCCTCCCCACCTGTCAATCTGTGTGTGTGTGTGTGTGTGTGTGTGTGTGTGTGTGCATGCGCGCGCACATGTGTGCACTCTAATACTGGACCTTGAATTCAGGGCCTCATGCTCTCAGTTGGCTTTTTTTTTTTTTCCCTCAAGGCTTGGAGCCACACCTTCCTTTCTGGCTTTTTACTGATTAATTGGAGATAATAGAATCTCTCAGATTAGTGTGCCCAGCTGGCTTTGAGCTGAGATCCTGTGATCTCCAGCTCCTGAGTAGCTAAGATCACCGGTGTGGGTCACTGACCCCTGGAAGAACCTTAGGTTCTTCTATCATCCCCATAGTTTTGTTTTTCCGAGTGCTGCAGAGCTGGAGCACCTCAGGATGGAGATTTCAGGTTCACTCAGTTCAGGACTCACATGCCTGTCATTGAAACTTCCTCCTGGTGTTTTCTTGACTTGGTAGCTCATTTCTCATTAGAGCTGAACAACAGTCCTTTGTCTGATCTATCAGCCTATCCATTTGCCTACTTGAGGATATCTTCATTGCTTCTAAGATTTGGCAATGATGAAAAACTCTGCCACAAAGCTGCGAGTGCATGGTATTGCGTGGCCATTTTTGACTCAGTTGGATAAACACCAAAAACCAACAACAAATAAGTCCGGGGCAGTAACTGTTTCCTCTCAGTGTACTTCGGGTCTCTGTGCTCAGCAGGGATGACTACCAGGAGGATGGGTTCTGCCAGCCATACCGGGGTATCGCCTGTGCGCGCTTCATCGGGAACCGCACCATCTACGTGGACTCTCTCCAGATGCAGGGCGAGATTGAAAACCGGATCACAGGTAGGAGCGAAGTCCTTCTGCCTCATCAGCTAATGACTCCTGCCTTCGGCCCTCTTCCCTCTCTCCTGCAGTTAGAATTCAGAGGTCATTAGTCAGCAGTTGCTACAATGATTTGCCCTAAAATAGCCTCGACTTGTATGTTTAAATTAGTGCATTCGTCCGTTTTCTGTCACTGTAATAAAATATCTGAAGCTGGGTACTTTATAAAGAAAGGAAGTTTATTTGGCTCACAGTTTTGGAGACTGGAAACCCAACAACATCAGTGCAGGCTCTGGTAAGGGTCCCCTGGCTTCACCACATCATGATTGGTAGCATCCTTGTGTGGGAAGGAGAGACCATTAGCAAGGAAGGAGCACCTCTGGGGCGGGGGAGGGGGGAGTGATGGTAGGCTCTGTGTGTGTGTGCATGTGTGTGTGTGTGTGTGTGTGTGTACGTGTACACTGTGCTTGAACTCAGGACCCGAGTACTGACCCTTAGTTGTTTTTTTTTTTTTTTTTAATAAGGCTGACACTCTACCACTTGAGCCACAGCTCCATTTTCACCTTTCTGTTGGTCAGTTGCAGAGAAGTCTTACAGACTTTTCTGCCTGGGCTGGCTTCTATCCTCAATCCTCAGATCTAGCTAATATTACAAATGTGTGCCACTGGCACCTGTCCAGGCTTATTCTTTTGTTAGAACTTTCTCCTGAAACTAAGCAGGATCACTTCCTGAGCACCAGCCTAGGAAGCTCTAATTAGGGACCTTCCACAAGGCCCCTCCACTTCTTACCACTACCACACTGGGGACCAAACTCCAGCACACAAACCCTTGGAAGGGCAGGCCATATCCAACAGTTTGCAAGTGGGCATGGCCTAGAACATATTCAGCCACCCTTGGTCTTCTGAGATTCAGTTAGCTATGTAGTCCAGGCTCACCTTGAACTTGTTATGTGTAATCCAAGATGGTCTGAGTACTGGAATGCTGGATGTGAGCTACTGCACTCTGTAACTCATACATTTTTAACTTGACCAAACCAGATGAGTTCAAAATATTGTTCACCTCCTGTCAGAGGCTGGCTGCACTCGCTCTGCTCGACTCCTTTTTTGTTCTGCCTTTTTTGACCCTCTCTATGAGTTGTATTTGGTTCAGAGGTCCATGAGGCCTGATTTCAGCTATTTGGGAGAGAGGGTTGTCAGTCACTGGCAGAGGGGACTCTGCAGTGAATACCCCCTGTCAGTCCTCAGTTCAGAACAAAGCCAGGCCTTCTAGTACCTGGCTCAGGGCCTGAGAAATGGGGCAGGTCAGCAGGAAGTGGAACTGCCTATCCTCAGTCTCTTGAGGGTTTAACTTCTCTGCTGGCTGTCAGCCCTTGGCATCCCAAGCTGTACACATTGGTGGAGTGAGTCTTCATTAAGGGAAAAGCTCACATGAAAGAAAGTGAATTAGAGCTGAGTACTGGTGGCTCATGCCTGTAATCCTAGTTACTCAGGAGTCTGAGATCTGAGGACTATAGTTCAAAGCCAGCTGAGCAGAAAATTCCATGAGACTATCTCCCATTTACCACCAGAAAACCAGCAGTGGAACTGTGGCTCATAGTGGTAGAGCACTGGCTTTGGGCAAATAAAGCTCAGAGATAGCACACAGACTCTGAGTTCAAGCCTCATAACCAATAAAAAAAATTAAAAAAGTGACTTAGAACTAAGTCCTGCAAAGATTTCTTCTTCCTCTTGAGCCTATGTGCCCCATTTATGCACAATTCTGCTCCCCACTCCCCCCACACCCCGCTAAGACCGCCAAAAGAACCAGGAAACCCTTGTAATGGTGACAGATACCCAGCACCTCAGGATACAGCTAGATTCTGTCCATGGTAGCTCCTTTTTTATTTTTGTTTTTTGTGTTGGTCCTTGGGCTTGTACTCTTAGCCTGGACATTGTCCCTGAACTTCTGTGCTCAAGTCTAGCACTCTTATCATTTCAGCCACAGATCTACTTCTGGCTTTTTGGGGTAGTTTGTGGAGATAAGAGTCTCACAGACTTTCTTGTCCAGGCTAGCTTGGAACCATGATCCTCAACCTTCTAAGTAGCTAGGATTACAGGTGTGAGCTACCAGCGCCTGGTTGTTTCTTTTTTGTTGTTGTTGTGGTTTGAACTGGTACTGGGCTTGAACTCAGAGCCTCAAGCTTTTGATTCGCTTTTTTACTCAAGGATGGCACCATACCATACCATTTGAGCCACACCTCCACTTTTGGCTTTTTGCTGTCCAGTTTGGAAATAAAGATTTATGGGCCCAGGCTGACTTTGAGCTACAATCCTCAGATCTCAATTTCCTGAGTAGCTGGGATTATGGGTGTGAGCCTGGATTTTGTGTAGACGTCAGTATGAGAGGTGATCACTGATTACAAAGCACCTCCCAGATAGTGGAATGGAGTAGATTGAAGACCTAAGGCAGAAGTGTACTTGATGTCACTGATGAGATCTCCCTTAAGTGTTAGGGCCTAAGTCATAGTCACTAAGTGCCTGCCTGGCCTGGCTGGCTCAGAGCCTCCGGTGGGCAGGGCCAGGGGCCTGGTAAGGGGGGCAGTAAAAAGATACAATCTGAAAGTGCCTTCTGGCCTAGCAGGAGGCTGTTTTGAATACTGCGGTAAAAAATGCTTTTTTAAGTATACTTTTAAGTGATGACCCTACAGGTTGAGCCTCCTTAATCTGGAAACCTCAAATCTCAAATGCTCAAACATCTGAAATATTGGGAGACACCTCAGCAGGCAGATACCACGCCTGTGTACACAAACTGTTACATACACAAAATTGTTGAAAAGGTGTTGTAAAAGTACATTCTGGCCAGGCACTAGTGGTGACTCACACTTGCAATCCTAGCTACTCTGGAGGCTGAGATATGAAAATCTCAGTTCGAAGCTAGCCCAGGCAAGAAAGTCTATGAGACTCTTAACTCCAATTAACTACCACAAAGCTCTAGATGTGGAGCTGTGACTCAAGTGGTAGAGCACTAGCCTTGAGTGTAAAAGCTCAGGGACAGTGCCCAGACCCTGACTTCAAGCCCCAGTACCAGCACCCCCCAAAACAAAAATATGCTAGCCACAGACTCCAAAACTAACTTAACATCCTGCTAATCAACGAACACTGATGTCCTCACACAAGATTGACAGTTTTCTTGACCAGTGTTTAAAGGATCAGATAACTCATTTAGAAAGAAAGGTATAGTATAAATTACGTGTCCTACAAATTTGAAATTGTTCCAATCTGACTGAATTAGGTCTTGGAGATTCAGGCATAGACAGAGATAAGGATGTACTGTTCCATCTCTGTGGTACCTAGATGTCATCTTCAGAATGAGCCCTCAAAGGGTACCTTTGGAGGAGAAAAAGGAGGTGGGACTCTATAAATATCCGCTGTTACATTGTATAGGTCATTGCCACATACACACATATATGTACACACTCCCAGATTGCCTTTAATAGATAACTTCTTCCTGTTTGGAGTCAAGGACAGTGTATTTTTTGTTTACATAGATACTGAAGTTTGAACTCAAAGCCTTACACCTTTGCTTGATTGTGTGTGTGTGTGTGTGTGTGTGTGTGTGTGTGTGTGTGTATGCGCATGCATGAATGGGTACATGAACACATGCCTATGTACATGTCTGTGTATACCTGTCCTAGGATTTGAACTCAAGGCACTAGCTCAAAAGTGCTCTACCACTTAAGCCACAGCTCTACTTCAACTCTTTTTTGGTGTTGATCTTCTTGCTTAGGCTGGCTGTAAACCATGTTCCTCCATTTTCTTCTTCCTGAGTAGCTAGGATTACATGCATGAGTCACCAGCACCCAGCTTCTTGCTTGAGTTTTTATTCAAGATTGTCATTCTACCACTTGAGCCACAGCTCCACTCCCCTGCTTTGTGCTAGTTAATTGGAGATAAGAGACTCTTGGGCTTTTCTGCCTCAGCTGGCTTCAGACTATGATGCTCAGATCTCAGCCTCCAGTGTAGGTAGGATTACAGGCATAAACCATCAGCACCTGGCTAAGGCTAAAATTTTTTATTGCCCTCTCCTTAATTGACAGGTGTGTTTAAACCTCAATTCTTCCACCAAAATCTAAGACATCTTGTGCCTTACTTCCCACCCTCTGTTCCTTAGACAGAAGGAGCTTTAAGGACTATCATGATGTCTGTAGTGTCCACTCTGGTCAGGACAGGGCCCTTGCTCCCAGACCCTGTCAATCAGCTCAAGAGCCATTCAGAGCCATGTCTATTTTACAGACTATCTGTAGACACCTTCCCATGTATGAGGGAATTAAATCACTTCATTGGGAACAAGAAGAACTTAGGAAGGATCTAGTGTGTGCCACAGTTACTGGGAAGGGTCAGGGCTCCTTCACTAGCTCTTCTGCCCCTGGAAATAAGTGGCACTATTGCCATCTGCTGGCTGGATTTGGTACTCCATACAAAAAATCCCCAGTGGATCCCTGGCACTAAAATTCCAACTTCTGGAGTTTCTTGGTGTGTTGGAGGACAGTCTCTGCAGCATGGGTGGGCAAAGCTCTTACAGATCAGCATTTAAGCAGTTCTTCTGTAGGCTAAAGGGGAGGGGGATAGCATCTCCTTCCCGCTGCTCCTTGCACGTAGTGCATCCCAGGGCACACCACATCTTTCACACGTGGAGCTTGCTACTGCTTTTTTCTTACCCCCCCCCACAGATCTTATCCAGATATCCTGACACCCCTCCCCACCACAATGCACATCTAACTCATCAGCTGTCCCTTCCCTTCTCTTCCCTTCCCCTTCCCCTTCTCTCTCCTTGGCTGTGTAACACAGGGCTGCCATTTCCCTTTTGTGGATACCTTTCTTGTGCCCTGTGAGGTTTCCTGACCTGGGCCAGCCTGGAATACTGGGAAGACAGGGCTCAAGGACTTACCTCTTGTCCTGCACTGTTATCTGGAAGTCTCCATACTTAGGCACTGTACCCCTGTGCCTGCAGAACCCTGAGTCAGGTCCTTAGAAGATGGCTCCTGTGCCTGAAATCTGAATCTTCCTGTCCTAGAAGAGGCATCAGCTAAGAGCTTTGGGGCCTGGCTTCTCGCCTTTCTTGTTTTATTTCTGAATTTGTAAGGAGGTTCCGCATACCCGTGTCTGCTGCTAATCAGAGAGGTCAGATAGGTGTCCTTGGCCTGTCTCTGGAGCCCCACTAGGGTGTCCACCAAAGAGTGCTGGAGTTCTCATCATGGTCAGGGCTGAGTGTGTGTGTGGGGGGGGGTCACAGCTCTGGGGAAGGGTGTCCAGGGCAGGCGGGGAGTTGGGAGAGTGGGTGGGGTAGGCTGTACTGGGTTCAAAGTGGAGGGAAGGGTTGGTCAGGGATGGGAGGGTGTCCAGGACTCACTGTGGGGAGAGAGGTTGGAGGAGTGAGAAGGGCTCCGTGTGTGTGTTTGTGTGTGCGTGTGTGCTCCATGTGTGCGTGTGCGTGTGTGTGCATGTGCATGTTCCGTGTGTGTGTGCATGTGTGTGTTCCGTGTGTGTGTATGGTTATACAAGGGTGGGTGGGGCCGTTGGGTGTCTTGTGCCACAAATGGATAAAGCAATGAAAAGGTAGAGTAGGGTATCCATGGCCCAGAGAGGGTGATGGAGGGGGCAGAGCAGGGCGTCCCCGGATGAGTGTGGAAAGTGGCAGGATGCGGGGTTGGGTTATGGGTGGGGTCTCCGGATTGAGGGAGAATAAGAAGTCGGGTTACTGACTAAATGTCTCAGAGGAAAGCAGGGGATCTGAGTCAGGAAGGGCATGGGGCAGAGGGTCTATGGTTGACGCCTGGGAAGGAGAGTCGAGGCACTGGAGAGACAGAATAACCCATGCAGAGGCCCAGGCGCAGCAAGGAGGGAAGAGGTCGGATCAGGGACCCGGGGTAGGAGTTAGCGGTGGGACGATGTCTGGGTGGCATGCCGGCGTGAGGCGTACAGGCCAGGCCTGCCTCTTACCGAAGTCTGTCTCCGCAGCGGCCTTCACCATGATCGGCACCTCCACGCACCTGTCGGACCAGTGCTCCCAGTTCGCCATCCCGTCCTTCTGCCACTTCGTGTTCCCGCTGTGCGATGCGCGCTCCCGGGCGCCGAAACCCCGCGAGCTGTGCCGGGATGAGTGCGAGGTGCTGGAGAGCGAGCTGTGCCGCCAGGAGTACACCATCGCGCGCTCCAACCCGCTCATCCTCATGCGCCTGCAGCTGCCCAAGTGCGAGGCGCTGCCCATGCCCGAGAGCCCGGCTGCCGCCAACTGCATGCGCATCGGCATTCCCGCCGAGAGGCTGGGCCGCTGTGAGTGCCAGGGGTTACGAATGGGCCTCTCGTCCCCATACCCATTGGGCCTCCAGTTAGATCCTTCTTCACCCTTGAGCTTGGGGATCTAACGTCTCAAAAGCGGAAGAGGTTTGGCACCTGTTGGGATTTGGAGGAGAAGGGCCAGTTTGGGCCTGATGGTCCCCAAGCATGTCGAGGTGGGGGGTGTAGAGGGGCGCAAAGTGGGGTTGTAGGCCCAGAAGAGAGTGAGGAAAGCTAATTTCATCAGTGAATGCTTCAGGGAGACTGCCATCCATGGGGCACAGGAATCACTTTTTCCAAGGCTGTATACCGCCTCTGTGGCTAGTGTGGGGCGTAGGAGTGAGCCGGCTTCTTACTGTGCAGCCACGGCCTGATCTCGAGGCCCAGACTGCAGGACTTGCCTGTGCTCTGGAGCAAGTGCCCAAACACCTGCTTTCTCCATATTCACCAGGCGGGTGATGGGCGTCCCCGCCTCCCAGAGTTAGGGTGGAGGCTGTGGCAATAATTAGGCACCTCTACAACAGTGCATAGGGTACATTGCATACAAGCCTTGCGCAAAGGCACATCCTCAGTTGGGAGCACTTGCATGGAGGTGAAATGGTGTTTTGTTCTTATAGGTAGCTGAGCCAGTGGCCTACCACCAGTGGCCTGTCAGATGGCAGGGCCAGGTCTAGCTCTGCCCTTGCTGTTTGCACATGTGGATTTTGTTTCTGGGACATGTGAGCATGATGTTGGGTTGACATCCTTATTCTGGCTCTGGAAGTGGAATGTGGGTACCTGGATGCTCCCCAAGATGGTTTCAGGGCCTTGGATCAGCTATGACAAGTTTTCTTTCTCATCTCTGGCCCTAGAGCACCTTTGATCTCATTTGTGAGCTTGGGATTTGATTAAGGCATTTCTTGATCTTTGTGTAAAATCCTTTGGTCTACAATCCTTTTGGTCTAAAATCCTTTGCTCTACAAGTCTTTGGTTTACTTTGGTACCAGTAAGTACCAAGTTTTGGTGCACATGGAAAGGTAGTTTTGTGATTCTCTGTAGCCTTGGAAGGAGGGTGAGCTCTGTGCCAGGGTGGGCTGTTTTCCTGATGCTCAGCCTTCTAACGCTCTGCCCCTCTCTCTCAGATCACCAGTGCTACAACGGCTCTGGCTCGGATTACAGGGGGATGGCCAGCACCACCAAGTCAGGGCACCAGTGTCAGCCGTGGGCCCTACAGCACCCTCACAGCCACCACCTGTCCAGCACAGACTTCCCTGAGCTTGGAGGGGGCCATGCCTACTGTCGGAACCCCGGAGGCCAGATGGAAGGTCCCTGGTGTTTTACGCAGAATAAAAACGTACGCATGGAACTGTGTGACGTTCCCTCGTGTAGTATGTATTCTCTCTCTCTTTTTTTAAAAATAAACATTGACTGTTGTTGGCCTGTGATGAGGGTATTGGGTCTTCCATGAGACACTGGGGACCTGGTGTCCCATCTTGCTGCCCTGATCATTTGCTTTACAGAAAGCTATTGTTGAGTATGAAAGTAGTATCGGATCATTGGAGGGTATCTTAAAAATACAGAAAATTCTGAAAGATGCTGGGCCAAGTCATCCCTCATTTCTTGGGCCTTCCCTCAATCCTTTCCATGTATAAGGTATTAGTATAAAATAGAAAAATAGAATTTGGAGTTGGGTACCTGTAATCATAGCTATTCAGGAGCCAGACCTGAGGATCATGGTTTGAAGTCAGCCCAGGCAGGGAAGTCTGTGAGACTCTTATCTCCAATAAACTATGACCCCCCCCCCAAAAAAAAAGTGGAACTGTGGCTCAAAGTGGTAGAGCATTACCCTTGAGCAAAAGAGCTCAGGAACAGCATGTAGGCACAGATGGAGTTCAAGCCCCGTGATTCACAAAAAATAAAAAAGAAGAAGACAATAGCCACACCTGCTCTTAAAGTACAGTGGGGCTAGAGGGCCTGAGAAGGTGACTGGGGGCAGGGAGGTGAAGCAGTGCAGCCTGGGTGGTCAGCCAGCAGCCAGCACCCAGCCTGCTATCCTCGTAAGCAATCTGGTGCCCCCCACCTCCACCCCAAACCTCTGCAATTTTTCCTAAATCCTTTAGAGGGAGACAAAGACTGATTTAAGAAAACATTGTAAGGGCAGCTTGAACTGGTTCATTTTGCTTTTAAGAGTTCTTTGTCCCTTGCCTAGTGCTGGTGGCTCAGGTTTCTAGTCCTAGCTACTTAGAAGGCTGAGATCTTAAGATCATGGTTCAAAGCCAGCCTGGGCAGGGGAATCTGTGAGATTCTGAGCTACAGTGTACCACCAAAAAGCCAGAAGTAGAAGTATAGCTCAAATGGGAGACATCTGTCTTAAACAAAAATGCTGAAGGACAGTGCGTGCCCAGGCCTTGAGTTCAGCCTCAGCATGGGCACACACACACACACACACACACACACACACACACACACACAAATACAAATCCTTTGTCCTTCGTACATGTTGTATGGGACAAATTTTATTGAATACCTTTGCACTTTTCAGTCAAAGTCATTCTTACGTTACTATCCTAAATGAAAATGCTATCATCATACAAAATTGGAAAAGAAGAAAATATCCATGAATTAAAATGTTGAGGAAGTGAAGATTCCTCAGTACTGAGTCTTGCTTACTAAGAACATGGGCATCTGGGGTATTCTCTCTATGTCATTCATTGGTTAGCATTTCGGGAACCCAGATCAAAATCCAATAGTGGAGCATGGCTCCCAAGCATCAGGAAGGGAAAGAGGATGTGGGCGTTGCTGGTACTGAGACCTCTAGTGGGCATTGTTGGTACTGAGCCCTTGAGTTGGATTGCGTTTGATGTGGTACATTCCAGTTTGTTTCGTGGTAGGAGGTCTGAGTTGTACCCAGCAGGATGCTTGTTGTTAAACCTGGGGTGCAATTTTGCTTCTGTATACAATTCATCTAAGTATGAAATGTTTCTACTGGAGGGGAGCTGGGGGCCCCTGGTGGAGAGCCCAGAGCTGGAAAGAAGATGTTCTCTGACAATCCTGAAAGCTTCCTGTCATTCACAGGTCCCCGAGACAGCAGTAAGATGGGAATTCTGTACATCCTGGTCCCGAGCATTGCCATCCCCTTGGTCATTGCCTGCCTTTTCTTCTTGGTGTGCATGTGCCGGAATAAGCAGAAGGCATCGGCTTCTACACCGCAGCGGCGTCAGCTGATGGCCTCCCCCAGCCAGGATATGGAGATGCCACTCATCAACCAGCACAAACAGGTCCCTACTCATATTCTGGCCAGGCTCCTCCATGGTTAACCTGTGGGGATTAAGGGCCTTAATTTCCTTCACACAGCACAAGATTCTTCTTTGTTTCTTCTTTTAGTGCTAGTACTGGACCTTGATCTCAAGGCCTTGAGTTCTTGCATCATTTTTTCCTGCTTAAGGCTTGTGCTCTAGTACTTGAACGATGCCTCCACTTTTAGCTTTTTGCTGGTTATATAAGATAAGAGGATGGTGAATTTGTCTGCCCAAGCTCGCTTTTAACCCTGTTCCTCAGATCTCAGCCTCCTGAGTAGCTAGGATTACAGACATGAACAATTGGTGCCTACAGAGTTGTTTTAATATACCAACAAATAATGGTTGGTATATTTGGATTCCACCATTTCAAGTTGATGGATTCCGCCTGTTGTACCAGGGCTACTCAGAAGCCCCAGCTATGTGTCCTCACTGCTCATTTGCCTCAACCTTGTCCACATAAGAAAAAGAGGTCCAACTTCACTTGTAATTTGGCTTTTTTTGGGGGGGGGTTGGGGAAGAAAGATACTGGTACTGGAGTTTGAACTCAGGCCTGAACATGCTGTCCCTTAGATTTTTCCCTCAAGGAAAAATCTGTAGCTCCACTTTTGGCTTTTTTTTTCTGGTTAATTGGAAATAAGAGTGTCATTGTCTTCCCTACTTGGGCTGGCTTTGAACCTTGCTCCTCAGATCTTAGCTTCCTGAATAGCAAGGATTACAAGCATGAGCTACCAGCACTCAGGTTAACATTGACATTTTTGAGGGGTCTGTTTGGGAGTGAGTTTTCAGTCAATTGTTTTGGTTTTTATTTATTGAGGGAGGACAGAATACTAGTCTCTAATAGACATTGGAGGGACAAGCCTTTTCTGAAAGGTTGCCCCATTCTGAGGGTTTGTAGATGGTGTGTGTGTGGGGGTGGTGGCTAGAGGGATCAGAACTGGTTCCTTTGTCCATCTTGGTGGAAGGGCTGTTAGTTCACCATAGGCCAGAGGAAGCATCATTCCTAGTAGCTTTTCAAGATCTCTCAGAGGCTGTTGGGCAGAGTTGGTTCATTTGGCTCTTCGGCCAGAGATTTGTGAGTGTCTCCCATGACATATAACACAAAGCCCCTTGGCTGCTGGCATGCTGGCCCCTTCTCAGCCTCTGAGAAGAAGAGCTAGTCATTTGGAGGGGGCGGGGGGGGCAGGGAGCAGTCCTGTGGATCCTAGGATATAGGCAGGGTCCAGAGGATCCATACCACCCGGACAATACTTCTGCCAAAAGTGAATTGAATTGACAGTCTAATCAGAGTCAGGCTGATTACAGGGAGACTCTGCGCAAGAGCTGAGCTGGGCTCTAAAATGACTCAACAGTGACAGGCAAAAACAAATCCCAAGAAAGGCACTACAGGGTCATTAAGAAAAAGAGGACTGTGCTGTGATGTGTGCAGTATCGGGGAGACAGGGGAGCATTGTTGGAAAGTACTGGGAGAGCTGGTGCTTGGGCTCAACTATGGGGCAGGGGTCTGTGGATGCAGAAAGGTGCACGCTTGCACTCTGGTGGCATACTGGCTATATTTTAGAGGAACCTCATAAGGACCCAGGTTAGACCATGAGGCGAGGTATTCAGATGGAAGCAACACAGCATTAGAGCTATCTTTAAGATGAATCAGGGCCAGGCACTGATGACTCACTCCTGTAATCCTAGCTACTCGGGAAGCTGAGATCTCATCATTGAGCCCAGACAGAAAAGGCCATGAGGCTCTAGTCTCCAATTAACTACCAAAACCTGGAAGTGGAGCTGTGGCTCAAGTGGGGTAGAACCTTAGACTAGCCTTGAGCATAAAAGCTTAGGCTCTAAATTCAAGCCTCAGTACCAGCACACAGACACACCTGATTAATCATGATTAATCATCCTTCTCTCGAAGGATGAAAGGGGAGACATTGATTTGTATTTGCTAAATGCCAGGTTGAATTGAAATTCCTTTGTACAGCTCTTTAAAGATGATAATAATAATAGTAATACTAGATTAATCAGGGACCTGGAGCTGGTAGGACTCACAAAGTTGTGCCACATGATGGTGGCATCAGGATTATGCCTCTCCAGATGCTCTGCTTCTCTCTTCTGGCATCTCTGTGACAGTTTTCATTTGGTGGTTTTCTTCTTGGCAGGCTAAACTCAAAGAGATCAGCCTGTCCACAGTGAGGTTCACAGAGGAGCTGGGGGAAGACCGGTTTGGAAAAGTCTACAAAGGACACCTGTTTGGGCCCACCCCGGGGGAGCAGACCCAGGCCGTGGCTGTCAAGACATTGAAGGACAAAGCGGAAGGAGCCCTCCGGGAGGAGTTCCGGCATGAAGCCATGCTGCGGGCTCGGCTGCAGCACCCCAACCTTGTCTGCATGCTGGGCGTGGTGACCAAGGACCAGCCCCTCAGCATGATCTTCAGCTACTGCCCACACGGCGACCTCCACGAGTTCCTGGTCATGCGCTCGCCTCACTCTGATGTGGGCAGCACGGACGATGACCGCACTGTGAAGTCGGCCCTGGAGCCCCCCGACTTTGTACACGTGGTGGCACAGATCGCTGCCGGCATGGAGTATCTGTCCAGCCACCACGTGGTCCACAAGGACCTGGCCACCCGTAACGTACTGGTGTATGACAAGCTGAACGTGAAGATCTCAGACTTGGGCCTCTTCCGTGAGGTCTATTCTGCCGACTACCACAAGCTGACGGGTAATTCGCTGCTGCCCATCCGCTGGATGTCCCCCGAGGCCATCATGTATGGCAAGTTTTCCATCGACTCGGACATCTGGTCCTACGGCGTGGTCCTGTGGGAGGTCTTCAGCTATGGCCTGCAGCCCTACTGTGGATACTCCAACCAGGACGTGGTGGAGATGGTCCGGAACCGGCAGGTGCTCCCCTGCCCAGATGACTGCCCCGCCTGGGTCTACGCCCTCATGATCGAGTGCTGGAATGAGTTCCCCAGCCGGCGACCGCGGTTCAAAGACATCCACAGCCGGCTGCGAGCCTGGGGCAATCTGTCCAACTACAACAGCTCGGCACAGACGTCGGGAGCCAGCAACACCACACAGACCAGCTCCCTGAGCACCAGCCCCGTGAGCAACGTGAGCAACGCCCGCTACATAGGGCCCAAGCAGAAGGCCCAGGCCTTCCCACAGCCCCAGTTCATCCCCATGAAGGGCCAGATCAGACCCATGGTGCCTCCGCCCCAGCTCTACATCCCGGTCAATGGCTACCAGCCAGTGCCGGCATATGGGGCCTACCTGCCCAACTTCTACCCCGTCCAGATCCCCATACAGATGGCGCCGCAGCAGGTGCCCCCGCAGGTGGTCCCCAAGCCCAGCTCATGCCACAGCGGCAGTGGCTCCACCAGCACAGGCTATGTCACCACTGCACCCTCCAACACCTCTGTGGCGGACAGGGCTGCCGTACTCTCCGAAGGCACCGAGGACACACAGAACATTCCAGAAGACGTCACCCACAACCCTGTGCAGGAAGCAGAGGAGGAAGAGGAAGGCTCTGTCCCAGAGACCGAGCTCCTGGGAGACAGTGATGCCCTGCAGGTGGATGAAGCCCAGGTTCAGATGGAAGCCTGAGTGGCCTGCAGGGCCCAGGGCACCGGGAGAGAAGTTCCTGCCCCAGCTCACTGGAACTTCAGCCGGCAGCCACAGCAGAGCCCCCAGGACTGGTTTGCAGACTTTACTTCCTGAGACGGGGTGAAATCCCGCCCTGGATTGTCTGTTCTCTGCACTGAGAGCTGCCACTGTGACCCCCAGATTGGGCTGCAGGCCCACGGGACCGCTTTGGAAGCAGGACACGGTGACCCCACGGCACTGCCTGCTTATCCTGGTGGTAGATCCAAAGGGAGCTGTGTCATCTCTGTTCCATGTTGTAGATGGATCAAGTTATTTCCAGACTTGGAGAAAACAGGGCTACTGGAGGTGATGGAGAGGCACCTGGGATTTGGAGATTCTCAGCAAGCTGGCCTGCTGGCTTGAGGCTGGAGGCTGCTAATTCCCTCAGCTGCCTTCTTCTGGGACTCTGAGCCGCTAGAGATAAATAGGGACAGGACACTGCCACCTTCCAGGGACTAAGGAGAAAGGGGCTTCTGAAATTTGGAGCCCCCCCTTGAATTTAAAAAGAAAAGCAGTATGTGCCTTAACACAAACCGACAAAGCCTTGTAATTTTGTGAAATGATTTTAATTATATTTGCATATATGTGGTGCCCACAATTCCAGAATTGGAAAAAGTATTTCTTGGCTTTCAGATGTTCAAAAGGAAGCAATCTTGTACAGAAAACAGCATTGTTATTTTTTTTTAACAATCATGTACAGACCTTACGTGTAATTTATATGGGGTTTTCCTTTGTTTGGTATACCATTTTCATGGAAGTATTTGATCTTAAATAATGACTTAATAATTTAACTGTTTACATGATCCACTTGGGGATGCTATCAAGCTGTGGTTTTGATGTGCTGATTTTTTGTGCCACGTGTAAGCCAGGTCCATTCATTTCAGAATCCCCGTCACACAAAAGCTCACAGGCAATGCCGCTGCCTGTACCTTGAATACCTTGTCAGTTCTGTTTGTAAATCTCATGGCTGGTGTATCCAATAAAATGAAGCAGACCATTTGGCTGGCTCTCTCCAGGCTGGGAGGGCGGAAGGCTGTGTTAATGCTGATTATTGAGATGAAGCCTTTTCTGTAGATTTCAGAGACTTGCTAGGACTGGTGTTCCATGCTAACGTGGATATAGCAGTAATAATTATGAGAAATGCAAAAAAAAAGTGATTGCACTGCTTGTTTGTTTGTTTGTGCCAGTTCTAGCACTCGAACACAGGGCCTCTTCATCTTACTTGGTCCTTCACTCAAGAAGAACCATGCACTCTATCACTTGTGACACAGCTCTACTTCTGGCTTTTTGCCGGTTCATTGAAGATAAAAGTCTCAAGGCCTTTCCTGCCTGGTCTGGCTTTGAACTGTGATCCTCAGATCTCAGTTTCCTGAGTAACAGGAAGTTACAGGTATGGGCCATTGACACTCAACCTACTCCTTTATTTTTAATATAACCTTAAAAAAGTTTGTTAGTCTGTATTAATTGGATATATGAACAGGATTCAGCATAATTTTTCAACATGTGCATATACTGATAAAATCCAGGCCCCTTTGTCCACCCTTGCTGCAACTTCCCAATATTTAGTGATCACTATTTTGCACTCAGAATGACTCTTTTCCAAATATTTTCTGTTGAGATCTCAGGTACAAATTGATTACTGAAGATGTGAAAATGACCTTTGGGTTTTGTTTTGTTTATGCTGGGAGTGGGGCTTGAACTTAAGTCCTAGGCACTCTCCCTGAGCTGTATTGCCACAGCTTTACTTCTGGCTTTTTGGTCATTAATCCTACCTGGACTGGCTTCAAACCTCATTCCTCAGATCTTTTAGTGGCTAGGATTACAGATGTGAGCCACCAGTGCCTGGCTCTCTCCTAGAATTTTTTTAAAAGCATCTTGTTTTGAATGTGTATATCTTTTCACCATAGTGAGGTCTTTGGGGGACAGGGGCACTTGAACTCAGGGCTTTATGTTTTTGCTTGCCTTTTTTTTTTTTTAAAAAGGCTGGCACTCTACCACTTGAGCAACACCTTCTCTTCCATTTCCTGCCTCCCTCTCCTCTGTCTGGCAATGAGAGTCTCTTGGACTTGTTTGGTTAGCTGGCTTTCAAAAAATGAGCCTCAGATCTCAGCTGTCTGAGTGGCTAGGCTTACAGGCATAAGCCACCAGTGCCAGGCTGTGGACAGACACTACACTAACACTGTCTCTCTGAGATGTAGAAGCAAGAATTTTGTTAAGGAAAATCATCATTAATTTCAGATACACAAAACAATTCAAGGTAGGCTATCAAAACCAAGTGACTAACGTACATATTGTCTAGAAAAATCTATTAGAGTTCTCATCTTTTACTCCCCCATTTCTGTCCATTCCTGCTGAGCAGGAAAGCTTTACCCATAAATGTGAGCAGACTTCAGCTGGGGCACTAAATTAACTTATGTCTGAGGGGAAATGGGTGGGTATTCAACTCTAAAGAGAGCCCAAGATTCTTACAGTTCAGATTGTGAATGAAACTTCTCTTGTGCACACTTTCTTCCTACTTCTTCCCTGGGGACAGTCACTGCAGGATTAATTAGGAGTGTGAGCCCCCAGGAGACACTATTCCTGATCATTCAGAGGGAATCCCTGGGTTCTTTAGCCTAAAGATTTGTGGTTATAGCTGATTTAACAACCTTTCTCTCTCTCACTCTCTCTATCACACACACACTATATTTATATAATATATGCATATATGTCATATGTGTCACTAATTTGTGTGTATATGTATATATAATTTGTCTGAACCAGGGTCTGTCTTTCATCTTACATGCTCATCTAGTGTTCTATTACTCAAGCCATGCCTTCACACGTGGCTTTTTGTTAGCATTTGGTTGGTTTATGGGAATGGGAGTCTCAAATACTTTCCTACTCAGGCTGGCATTGAACTTCAATCCTCTGAATCTCAAGCTCCTGAGTAGCTAGGATTACAGGTGTGACCTACCAATGTCTAGCAAGGAATCGCTCATTTTGTAACAGTTTGCTGTGATATGTTTCCATATGTTTAGCCTATTCTACAGGCATAATGTATTGGTTTTTATTAACTTTCCCAAGTGTGAAGCCTTTACCCCAGCCTAAATTTAGAATGTTTCTGTCTTCACAAATGCATGTTTGTGAGCCCCAGGCGATCCACTCTGCTCTCTGTCTCAGGATTTGACTTTTCTGGACTTTGTGTATCAAAGGAATTAGAGGATATGAGGAATTTTGCTTCTGGCTTCTTTCCCTCAGCCAAATGTTTTTGAAGTTATCTCTGCTGTATGAGGATCAGAATCATTCCATTACTGAATGATATTTATATTGAATGTCGTATATTTATCGCTGGTCATCCATCAGTGAAGTGTGGATTTTTCTGATTTGACCTGACTGAAATGAGAAATTCTCCTGTGACTATTGGCATTTATTCATCTGCAGGCTTAAGTTCTCATTTTTCAAAAGACAAAATTGCTGGGTTCTAGTGCTCATACCTGTAATCCTAGCTACTCAGGAGGCTGAGATCTGAGGATCATAGCTTGAAGCCATCCCAGGAAGAGAAGTCCAAAGCTAGAAATGAAAAGGCCAAGAGAGAGTATGAGACCCTGAATTCAAATCCCAGTATCAGCACACATGCATGTGCACATGCACGTGCACGTGTGGGGACAGACACACACATGCGCACACACACACGCACACACACATGCACACACACGCACACACACACACACACACACACACACATACACACAGACGAAATTATGACATTAGGATGGAAATCTAACTCGATTTGGACTCTAGAATTCTCTACCCGGGAACTAGGCTGGCTTCATGTTCAGAAAGGGGGTGAAGAAGTCAGAGACAGAACAAAGGGGATCGCTCCATTCAATGTTACTTTCTTCCTTTTCATGCCATCTAAAATTGGCGTGTTACTATTTAGCTATTATTCCTCACTCTCCTGATTTCTTGGAAATTACAAAGTTTTGGCTTAGTAATATAGAACGTTCACAAAGGTCACTCCCATGTTGGTTTGATCTACCAGACCTCCCTAGTGCTGGAGCTCAGCCCAAGTCATTGATTTCCCCAAGATTTTCTTTAGCACTTTTCTTTTGGGAGGGTCCTGGGAGAGGAACTGCTGAGTCGTATGGGAAAAAAAAAATTGGTTGTCTTTTGGGAGGAAAGGCAGTATTGAGGCTTGAACTCAGCCTGAGGACCGCCTCTCAGTTTTATCCATTCAAGCCTGGAGCTCTACCACTTGAACCATACCTCTACTTCTGGCTTTTGCTGGTTAATCGGAGAAAAGAATCTCTGAATTGTCTTCCTGAGATGGCTTTGAACCAAGATTCTCACATCTCAGTCTCCTAAGTAGCTAGTGTTACAGGCATGAGCCACTAGTGCCTGGCTTAATAATGTTTTTAAAGAAAGCTTCAAATTATTTTCCATAGTGGTTGCATGTCATGTTCCCACCAGCAGTGTCAGAGGGCTCCAGTGTCTGCATACCCTCACAAGCTCTTGATGTCATCTTAAATATATACATATAACCATCCTAAGGCATTTAGTGAGAATCACCTGCTCCTAAGAACATCTAAGAATATCTGAGGCCAGGTGCCATGGCTCATGCCTGTATGCTATGGGAAGCTGAGTTCTGAGGCTCTTGATTCAAAGATAGCCCAGTCAAAACAATTCTTGAAACACTCTCACTTAGGCTGTGAAAGAGCTGGATTGGAAGTATGGCTCCATTGTAGAGCACTAGCCATGAACAAAATTGCTAAGCCAGTGCTGGGTATCAGTGGCTCATGCCTGTAATCATAGCTACTCAGGAGGCTGTGATGTGAGGATCAAAGTTCAAAGCCAGCCCAGGCAGGAACATCTGTGAGATTCTTAGCTCAAATTAACCACCAAAAAGTGGAAGTGAAGTTATGGTTCATATAGTAGAGCTCCACCCTGAAGTGAAAAAGCTAAGGAACAATAATTCCCATGATGGGAATACACAAAAGCATGTGCACATGCATAGTTGCACACTCACACATACACACACAAATTTTATCTGAATAGAATTACTTAGATGAAAGGACTAAGGTTAAAGGGCAAATTATAGGAATTGTGAGTTGATTAGGCTACCAAATGCCCTCATTCTGTATTTTCACACAGCCCTTCAGTAAATATTTTTGGACATACTCTATAGACTGGATTCATCCTAGCTCAGTGAACAAGCTTGGAAATACCACCCCTTAACCAAGAATATTGTAGTCATAACAAAAGGTCTTTCTGAGAAAGCGGTATTGGTTGTGTGACCCTTTGGCCTAGGCATGAGTCAAAACTGATCCGATATGTTACCTGCAAGGGTGCTCACATGTCTGTCTCTGTCTCTGTCTCTGCCTGCACTCCCCCCAGCCCCATCCTCCCTCTTTAGTACCAGGGCTTGAGCTCAAAGCTTCCTTTCCTTTTGCTTTGTTTGCTCAAGAATGGCACTTTACCGCTTGAACCACACCTCCAGTCCCATTTTTGCTAGCTAACTGAGATGGAATCTTGTGAACTCTGCTGCCTGCGTTGCTTTCAAACTGCCATCTTCTGGTCTCAGCCTTCTGAGTAGCTAGCATTACAGACTTGATCCACTGACTCCAGAAATGCCCATATTCTTTTTAGAGCCGTGCAAGATGTGGCTGGAGTATTTCATTGGAAATACAGAGCTGAGAAAGCAGGTGAAGGCTTTCCTTCTATCCTGAGAGTCCTGGCTGACATCTTTTGAGTTAAAGACAGATTAACAAGAGAAAGCAATACAGATGTATGCAGTCATGGGTTTATGTGACTGGACATTTTCAGATTGGAGATCCAAAGTCACAGGTGAGCCCCTCTGTGCACGGCTTCTCCTTACAGATGTGGGGACATATTTTCTTAAATATAGAAAGGAGGGTGCAAGTTTAGACTAATATAGTTAGGTTTGATCTCTTGTTTTGGGGGGGGCAGGAGGCTCTGATGTCTATGACCTGCTTCTGGGGAGA